GTATAAATTAGGGATGCAAGTTATTGATTAATGTGAATTTGTCTGAAATTGATTCATCTTGTAGATTGACTAATGAATAATTAATAAGCAGCCATTTTCTTAAAAACCAGAGTTTTCTATTGAATCAAGAGGGTCTTTTCATAAAATGAAGGATTTTTTGTAATAATATGCTAAATTTAAAAAAAAGAAGCACATAAATATTTTCAGTTGATTTTGCCAACTGTATTAAACACTGACTGGAAAAAAAAAAGTGAATTTACTTGGTTATCGCTATAAAACATAACAAACCAGAAATTTAATAGGTTGCTAAATGAGGAAACCAGATAAAAAGAATAAAATATGATTTTTAGATGTAAAACTATTATTAATTTATTATAATTAGAATTTATTTACATTTAGCACTTATGATTTTTTTTCTGATTCTTTACTTCTTGCGGTTTTGAAACAGCCCCCCTCCTCCCCTCTTTCCTACTGAGGAAGACCTGCTGGAAAGGAAGGAAGAGGAAACAAATGGTGGACTGGGTTATTATTTTTTTGTTTGTTTGTTTGATTTTTTTTCCCTCACGGGATGTGCTTCCTCCTTGTGTCGCGGCTCGCATGAAATCAGACCATCTTTTAAAAAAATGAAATGTAGCATATACTTTTTATCATAACTTTGGATCTATTTGGCCTAACGACACCATTTAAAAACTGCTTTAAAGTTCAAGTCTCTACGTTTCACTCGAGGGTCTCAAAATGGGCGGATCTTTTAAGAGTTTTTTTTTTCTTCCCAAACTTTATTTAGGTCAGCCAGCATCGACAACGCTCTCCGGGTGACGTAAACGGCTCCTCGACACGGCGAGGGACGCTTAAATCACACGACACAACGAGTCGATAATGAAATTCGTTGCCAACGCTTTTAATAATCGATTTTTATCGATTCGTTGTTGCAGCCCTAATAGAAATTATATCAAACTGTATCTGTCTGTTGACTTGGTAACAGAATATAACTTCAAAATAAACAAAAGTGTCCTCATCACAAAACTTTTTGTGGCCAAAAGTTATCAAGTATCAAACTGAGTTTGTCTTAAAGTTTTAACTTCTATTGCTCCAAATTTCTGTTAGTTGTTTTTTTGTTGTTTATTTTAACTGCGAAATATTTGTTTTCAGGTATAACGTCCTCCAGGAAAGTCTGATTAAGCTTGTGGAGGCCTGTAACGATCAGTCGCACAGCATGGACCGCTGGTTGAGCAAGTTAGAGGCGTCCAGCTGGCAAACTCACATCAAAGAGATCCTCACCACTGCTTGCCTGGCTGCCCAGTGCATCGACAGGTTCTCCACTCGTTCCTTTCCCCAGTTGTGATGTGTTGCTTTTGTAATGTAGGCGACGTGCTGACCAGCGTGTGCGTGTTTGCCTCAGGGAGGGCGCCTCGGTGCTCGTTCACGGCACGGAAGGGACCGACTCCACCCTGCAGGTGACCTCTTTGGCTCAGATCATTCTCGATCCAGGTTGCAGGACCATCAAAGGCTTCCAGGGGCTGGTGGAGCGAGAGTGGCTCCAGGTGAGATTCTCTGAGCTTTCATGCACCGCCCGAGTTGGTCTTTTACAAAATGGTGATGTTAATTGCTGAGAATAAAAGTACATAATAGGACACCTTGTTTTACGCAGTTCATACGGTTGTTTATTAGGGCTGAGTAAAAAAAGAAATTTTATCGATCTTGGATCGATTTCATTTAAATTTGGGAAAATGGATTCACAGGACATGAGATCGATTCTTCCCCATGGCGTCTTGTGCGTGCGTCTGAGGTGTGTTTCTATATTTTGTCACTCCTGGCTTGCCGTATATTTACATCCGGTTGACATTCAGTGCTAACATTAGCTTTCGATAACAAGTTGTCTGGATCAAAACAAAAGAAACTAAGGAATCTCTACCGTTACCAGCCGACTCTCCACAGGACTTAAAGATAACGGAGACCATGGTGACTTTTGTTTGCAAAGATTTGCGCTCCTACGTGGTAGAGGAAACGGAGCATGGTTTGACGAGTAGCTCTCGTTCAGGCGCTCGAACCAAACTACGGTATGTAAACATATGACTGAAACTGTTCTCCACCAGCATGTTTAAATGTCTTAAAGACGACATTCTAACAAAATCATTTAGTTTTGTTATCAATATTATTATTTTCAAAGTTTAAGAAACGTCTTAATGAAATCCACAGTGATGACATTTTGTAGTTGTATGTATTAAGTTTTAATAATTTTTATTGAACAAAACAACAGAACGTAACAGAAACATTACAAATATACAGTTTTAGGATAAGATAAGATAAGATAAGATAAACCTTTATTGTCATTGTACAGAGCACAATGAAATTAGTCCAGAACACCCATTCACAATTCTTCATACACACAAAAGGAGTGGGCAGACGTATACACTAATATTAGCCCACCTCTTCTCCTGCAGCCTCATTCCCGTCACTTCTTATTTATCAAAATAATTATTAATTACTTAAAAATGAATGCATCCAACAACACTGTCACCTGCAATTCCTTTTTACTTTAAAACCTTTTAAACTTGTGACAGTTTCCTTTCAAGAATAAAATGTTTAATTTAAAAGTTTGTCCTTAAAACCTGTTGTTTATGTTAAAGAGAAAAAATGGTGATATAATATCAATATATATAACAATAATATATAATATCAATATAGGCTGTGTCCAAAACGGCAGGCCGGGTCCTCCAAAGGCCGAATTCGTTGGCCGCATACGTCACAGCGCCGCGACGAAGGACGTCCAAAACCGAAGATTCCTCCGATGTGGCCGACAAATAAGTCCTTCTTTTTCCCCGATTTGAAGGACTGGTCTGATGGATCCTTCCCGGCCCAGCATATCCCATAATGCATTGCGGCCCGACCGGAGATTTGTTTAAGCAAGTAATGGCGGACGAAGCGAGAGAAAAGAATACGTTTTAAATAAAAATATGGTGATATGGAAATGTAAAAAATTAGCGGTTGTAATTCTAATACTTTTATCATTTGTATGGACATGTTTTTAAATATTATTTTTGTCATAAAAAACCGCGAAATAAACATGAACCTACAGC